GTTGTGACTCCCCCCAAGGTTGTGGCTATCCCAAGGTTGTGGCTTCCCCAAGGTTGTGGCTCCCCCCAAGGTTGTGGCTCCCCCCAAGGTTGTGGCTCCCCCAAGGTTGTGGCTCCCCCAAGGTTGTGGCTCCCCAAGGTTGTGACTCCCCCAAGGTTGTGACTCCCCCAAGGTTGTGACTCCCCCAAGGTTGTGGCTCCCCCAAGGTTGTGGCTCCCCCAAGGTTGTGGCTCCCCCAAGGTTGTGACTCCCCCAAGGTTGTGACTCCCCCAAGGTTGTGACTCCCCCAAGGTTGTGACTCCCCCAAGGTTGTGACTCCCCCAAGGTTGTGACTCCCCCAAGGTTGTGACTCCCCCAAGGTTGTGACTCCCCCCAAGGTTGTGACTCCCCCAAGGTTGTGGCTCCCCCAAGGTTGTGGCTCCCCCCAAGGTTGTGACTCCCCCAAGGTTGTGACTCCCCCAAGGTTGTGACTCCCCCAAGGTTGTGGCTCCCCCAAGGTTGTGACTCCCCCAAGGTTGTGACTCCCCCAAGGTTGTGACTCCCCCAAGGTTGTGACTCCCCCAAGGTTGTGACTCCCCCAAGGTTGTGACTCCCCCAAGGTTGTGACTCCCCCAAGGTTGTGACTCCCCCAAGGTTGTGACTCCCCCCCAGGTTGTGACTCCCCCCTAGGTTGTGACTCCCCCAAGGTTGTGTCTCCCCCAAGGTTGTGACTCCCCCAAGGTTGTGACTCCCCCAAGGTTGCGACTCCCCAAGGTTGTGGCTCCCCCAAGGTTGTGGCTCCCCCAAGGTTGTGACTCCCCCAAGGTTGTGACTCCCCCAAGGTTGTGACTCCCCCAAGGTTGTGACTCCCCCAAGGTTGTGACTCCCCCAAGGTTGTGACTCCCCCAAGGTTGTGACTCCCCCAAGGTTGTGGCTCCCCCAAGGTTGTGGCTCCCCCAAGGTTGTGGCTCCCCCAAGGTTGTGGCTCCCCCAAGGTTGTGGCTCCCCCAAGGTTGTGACTCCCCCAAGGTTGTGACTCCCCCAAGGTTGTGGCTCCCCCAAGGTTGTGGCTCCCCCAAGGTTGTGGCTCCCCCAAGGTTGTGGCTCCCCCAAGGTTGTGGCTCCCCCAAGGTTGTGACTCCCCCAAGGTTGTGACTCCCCCAAGGTTGTGACTCCCCCAAGGTTGTGACTCCCCCAAGGTTGTGACTCCCCCAAGGTTGTGACTCCCCCAAGGTTGTGACTCCCCCAAGGTTGTGACTCCCCCAAGGTTGTGACTCCCCCAAGGTTGTGACTCCCCCAAGGTTGTGACTCCCCCCAAGGTTGTGGTTCCCCCAAGGTTGTGGCTCCCCCAAGGTTGTGACTCCCCCAAGGTTGTGACTCCCCCATGGTTGTGACTCCCCCATGGTTGTGACTCCCCCAAGGTTGTGGCTCCCCCAAGGTTGTGGCTCCCCCAAGGTTGTGGCTCCCCCAAGGTTGTGACTCCCCCAAGGTTGTGACTCCCCCAAGGTTGTGACTCCCCCAAGGTTGTGACTCCCCCAAGGTTGTGACTCCCCCAAGGTTGTGACTCCCCCAAGGTTGTGACTCCCCCAAGGTTGTGACTCCCCCAAGGTTGTGGCTCGCCCCAAGGTTGTGACTCCCCCAAGGTTGTGGCTACCCCAAGGTTGTGACTCCCCCAAGGTTGTGACTCCCCCATGGTTGTGACTCCCCCAAGGTTGTGACTCCCCCAAGGTTGTGACTCCCCCAAGGTTGTGGCTCCCCCAAGGTTGTGACTCCCCCAAGGTTGTGGCTCCCCCAAGGTTGTGGCTCCCCCAAGGTTGTGGCTCCCCCCAAGGTTGTGGCTCCCCCCAAGGTTGTGGCTCCCCCCAAGGTTGTGGCTCCCCCAAGGTTGTGGCTCCCCCAAGGTTGTGGCTCCCCCAAGGTTGTGGCTCCCTCCAAGGTTGTGGCTCCCCCAAGGTTGTGGCTCCCACAAGGTTCCACCGGTGAGGACAGTCACCAGGAAGAATTCGCATTTCCGGTTGTGTTCAACCACTGTTTCCTGCGCGCCCGTAGGCATAATCAAGAGGACTCCTGGGCCCCCGACGGGCCAGTCAAGAGGACTCCTCCTGGACGCCCGACGGGCCAGTCAAGAGGACTCCTCCTGGGCGCCCGACGGGCCAGTCAAGAGGACTCCTCCTGGGCGCCCGACGGGCCAGTCAAGAGGACTCCTCCTGGGCGCCCGACGGCCCAGTTAAGACGACTCCTCCTGAGCGCCCGACGGGCCAGTCAAGAGGACTCATCTTGGGCGCCCGACGGCCCAGTCAAGAGGACTCCTCCTGGGCGCCCGACGGCCCAGTCAAGAGGACTCCTCCTGGGCGCCCGACGGCCCAGTCAAGATGGTGTTAACTGGACCTCGATAAGAGAATGGTCCAGTTCTGAGTATTTGTTTACAACAGTCAAGAGCCGACCCCCATATTTGGCGCTCATGGAAAGCAGCCATTCATATTCCACCTTTATTAGTGTATTGGTCTTATCGGGCTTGAAGATATGACAACGGCGTGATCATATCCTAGCTTGAAGATGCGGCAACAACGTGATCATATCCTGGCTTGAAGATACGGCAACAACGTAATCATATCGGGCTTGCAACCCGTTCTTGCACTTGCTTATAGTCAATATCTTGCTTATGAATAAGTGCATATGTGACATACTAAGTTATTGTGAATATTTGAGTTTACCTTGTAAAGCTGAATAGAAAACCACAACCTAACCTAACCTTCTTAGTATGTTAAGATATTACAATTAGTACTGAACCTATACTGATATTACAGTTTTATAAAAATAATAAAACAAAAATAATATATTTAAATAAATTGTAAAGTAACTCAGGATATTGTCAATTTCTTTTTTTTTATAAAATCTCTATTGTTTAATAAAACAGAGAAAAAGTTAGTGCCTTAAAAAAAATACGGCTTAGAATATGTCACATTTATACTTATTTATAAGCACAATAGTGATTATACACAGTAAGTCATATATGTGCTGTCATGTGTGAGACCTGCTCTCGCACAAGACAACACATATATGACTTATTGCTTATAGTTACTATTTTGCTTTAAACAAGTATATATGTGACATATTCCAAGCCATATTTTTTTCAAGGCACTAACTTTTTCTCTCAGTTTTATTAAACAATACAGATTTTATACACAATTTGACAATATCCTGAGTTACTTTACAATTTATTTAAATATTTTAGTTTTGTTTTATTATTTTTATAAAACTGTAATATCAGTATAGGTATAGGTTCAGTACTAATTGTAATATCTTAACATACTAAGAAGGTTAGGTTAGGTTGTGGTTTTCTATTCAGCTTTACAAGGTAAACTCAAATATTCACAATAAATTAGTATGTCACATATGCACTTATTCATAAGCAAGATATTGACTATAAGCAAGTGCGAGAACGGGTTGCATTTTTGACCCGCCGGGGAATAAACCCGGTATTACTGAGTGTGGGTCGAGAACAGTCAGCCATACTAGTGATCCTAGGTTCGATTCTTTTCTGAAGGAAAAATGACAGTTATAATTGTCTTTAAGATAGGTTTTAAATATAACTAACCTCACCAACCTCCAGAACCTCACGAACTAACGATATTGGGTCGTTGTTCACTTGTTTTGACTGAGTGGCAGCTGTACTGTGATGAATTATTAGTAAATATCATTTAAACCTTTGTGCTAAAGTGGGAGAACTACGTTTTCTATGATCATAGACCCCTTTATATGTTAATAATCTAGTTACCGTATACTAAGTACATTGTACACTGGTGTTATCAACATTGCAATATCTGTCACCTGACAGTCAAACACTTCGAGCGGTCAAAATCCCACCAGCCAGATCATATTGCTGCAAAAACAGCTAATTCACTCAGTCTTTACAATGACTGGCTGAGGAAATCACAGTCATCTTGAGCTTGACACTGACCGACTTAACGTGACTGTTCTTACCGGCATCCCTCAGTCAAGACCCTCAGTCACCTCGACCTCGTCCCTCGCTGTACGCTACACCGAACTCCCAGGTCTTCAGTTCTTAAGAATTTATTGGGTTCATAATATACTTTCTTCACGGCGTTTTCCCTAAGCGTCCTCACCAGACGACGCCACCCCAAGCGTCCTCACCAGACGACGCCACCCCAAGCGTCCTCGTCAGATGACGCCACCCCAAGCGTCCTCGTCAGACGACCCCACCCCAAGCGTCCTCGTCATACGACGCCACCCCAAGCGTCCTTGTCATACGACGCCACCCCAAGCGTCCTCACCAGACGACGCCACCCCAAGCGTCCTCACCAGACGACGCCACCCCAAGCGTCCTCGTCAGACGACGCCACCCCAAGCGTCCTCACCAGACGACGCCACCCCAAGCGTCCTCACCAGACGACGCCACCCCAAGCGTCCTCGTCAGACGACGCCACCCCAAGCGTCCTCGTCAGATGACGCCACCCCAAGCGTCCTCGTCAGATGACGCCACCCCAAGCGTCCTCACCAGACGACGCCACCCCAAGCGTCCTCACCAGACGACGCTCTATTATTCCTCAATAATCTACTCAATGTATTTCATAAAAAAAAACACAAGAAACCTTCGTGTTTCATTTTAATTGGCAGATTTTGTTATTAACAACTACGAAATCTTACCTAATTATTCTCGGTAGCTTTAGTGCGGCATTAGTCAATACCTGCAGCCTCGTGGCCCACACTTTACAAACTATTAACTAAGGTATGTCCTAGACACACACGCACACGCACACACACACACACACACACACACACACACACACACACACACACACACACACACACACACACACACACACACACACACACACACACACACACACACACACACACACACACACACACACACACACACAGTACATCCCTCGACAGATAACCTTCTCACAACCCATCCTCCTGTTTAGATAGTGTTATAGTAACAATATAGACCATCGTACATACGTTGACGTAATGGACAATAAGAATCCACCTACCAGGGAAGTTGATCTGACGGACGACTCGGGCGACAGGCAGTTCGTCAATTAAGGCGCCATTCGAGTCAATGACAGCCTCGTGGGAGGCCACGAGGGCTCCCAGGGCCGCCACCAACAAGCACGACCACACCATCATTTGTGCTGCTCTCTCAACTATCACTTCCTGTCAGGAGAAAAATATTAAGTTGAATTAAAACAGTTAATGATTGTATAAGCACGTCATGGTTCGCCTGATAGTTAATAGCCTCCTTACCTTCTACTCTGGGGCTTGGTTCTTGGTTTCCCGTCTCGTGCCCCGACACAGGATGGGGGTGTGGAGTATGCATGACACGGAACGGAAAACCTAAAGAAGTACAGGAAGCTCTGAGAGAAAGGAGAAAGATCTTGAGAGACGGGGAAAGCCCAGAGGGACCAAACAATAGGGCAAGGGCCATAAAGAGCCCTAGGCTGGGCCAAATAATAGGGCACGGTTCATAAAGAGCCCTAGGAGGGACCAAACAATAGGGCACAGTTCATAAAGAGCCCGGGGAGGCGCCAAATAATTGGGCACAGGACATAAAGAGTTGGCTCAGGGCTGTTTTAATAAGAGGTCAATGAACTTCTTTGTTTTTTAATACATGATGATGCCTATGTTTTGGTTAGGGAGTTGTGTTTTTTACTCTTTTACGAATTATTTCTTTCATTATTCTTTCCTCTTTCTTATATTCACTGTGCAGGGTAGATTTGTAACACCAATCAAATTATATTTCACACTCTTGAGGCTTGCACCCTCTGCAATAAATAAAAAAAATTCTTTAGAGAAGTAAGGCTGAAGGCTTGTGGTATATATGGAGTTTGTAAAGAGTTGAGTCACTTGGCCAGTCTGTACGTGGACATAGGTATCTGGCTGATGATGAGTCAAAGTGGGTTTCCAGGTTTATGGGTCTTGACAGTTCCATATTTATATCCAGGTGTGTACTCTCTCCTAGCTTATGGCATGTGAAGTCCGGACATTTTGGCATTAACATCTTCAATCAATCTGTTTACCTTTGCTTTCAGTTCGGCAGTAATGTCCCAAGTGATCCTCTGAAACTTAATTTCATGAGGATGAGGTTAATTTTCTACATATACTCTTCCTTTTTGAGGATGACGTATATTGGAGATTTATCAATTCTTCTCACAACTATAAAAATAAATAATATAAATAATAAAAAATAAAATATGGCAACAGGCAAAATAAAACTGTACAAATTAATTTTGGAGAGTTAGTTTTTCAACTACCTTCTCAAGTGAGGAAAAGTGTAAGGAAAATAGAGAAGACTCGTACTACAATCATTGATCTCACCCATTTGGTCACATTCAATAATATGCTTACAGGAAAGACTGCTATCAATATATATATATATATATATATATATATATATATATATATATATATATATATATATATATATATATATATATATATATATATGTATATATATATACAGTAATTATGATTATCGAACATACTGTTGTTATTATTTGTAGTAGAGGTTGATGCAGTAGCTGTGACATGTGGTCGTGGCACTAGTTATAGTCATAATAATGGTTTAATGGTCATAGTAGTTAGTAATCATAGTGGTTGCAGCAGTGATGGTAGTCACAGCAGCAGTTGTGATCACTCCCTAATGATCAATAAGGTCTCTTGGATCACTACCCAGTGAGCAATGAGATCTCTTGGAGCACTACCTTGTGAACAATGAGGTCTCTTGAATCACTACCTAGGGAGTAATGAGGCCTCATGGATCACTACCAAGGGAGTAATGAGGTCTCTTGGATCACTACCAAGTGAGCAATGAGGACTCTTGGATCACTACCTAATGAACAATGAGAACTCTTGGATCACTACCAAGTGAGCAATGAGGACTCTTGGATCACTACCTAATGAACAATGAGGTCTCTTTGTCGGAAATTCTGACATTTTACATGACTGGTGTTTACAAATAATACTAACATTACTAATTTTCTCAAAGAGAGAGTACCAAGTGACTCTCACACAACAATGGGAAGGTATTGCATCAGCCAAGCAGCCGAGGTACCTAATATTTCCCTTAATGAATATACAATATTTCCAGTCTAAGAGTTGAAATACGAAGAAAAGTATTTATTAAGACTGGATTTAATTAAAATCCATGAGTAAATAAACGTTTTGCCTCCTTAAATTAAAATTGACTCACAGAAAACTGGACATATCCAGGACAGAGTGAGGAGGGAAGGGGTCTCTTGGGCAACGCCACACCAATGTGCACACGGCTGTCGGGATACACAAATGTGCTAGTTCTTATTGTACATGACACCATATTTGTGTTCACAACTGGTAACAGAGGACACACTTGTGCGAGTTCTGGAAGATCTACAGATCTTCCTGTGAGGATCCGAGCTGTGAGACGACATTGTTTCCAGTTAGCTTTACAGATCTTCACTAGATATAAGGAAGTGCAACTTTTCCATTTGACAGACAAGTGATCACTAGTGCTATAGGTCAAGCACTTAGGACGAAGGCTTCCCACCTATAACGAGTGAGCATTATTAATTTGATATCAGTCTTCCTCTGATCATATGCCTCAGGTTTTATTACTTGTATTACGATGTAACTATTTCACAGGTGACCTCGATGAAGGAGCTACAACAAGTCCTTTCTTACCCACATTTGTCCAGATGCCATATTATCTGAGAACACTCGGTGTGGTTCATATGTTTAGGACGGGTGTATGACTTAAGTGTTAGAGATGAATCTACTGATCATCTTTAACACTTAAGCTGTGTTTTGTATTTTCACTAACATACCTAGCAGTAGATTAACCTTAATAATATTCTAGAAGCCTTTTGTTATTCTGTTTGATAGATTGGGATATAGGTTACGGGTATATAAACCCCCCAATTGTGTGGATTGGATAACACCCAGTAGAAGAAACAATTTAAATACAGTCCATTTAGTAAATACAGTCAGTTGTGTTAAGTATAATAAATTTCAGTAAATTTCGAGAAAATTAATTTAGTACAAGGAAAGCAAATAAATTCATACTGGGAAACTCCCCTCACTCTTGGATTACTACCTAGTGAGCAATAAGGTCTCTTTGATCACTACCAAGTGAGGACATTTGCTGTTTGCGTTTCCATTGGAGACTTTCGGCGCTGTGGAGAGAGAGGGGGACATGCTGCATGGGTAACAGCTTCTCCTCCATATCAACCTACCCTGACCTTGCGTCCTGGAGAAGCCATTCCAGACTAACAACTAGAGCGCAACTCCATAGCCTCCTGAGACTGATGGATGCCTACTTCGAGTAATGAGGTTCCTTGGATCAATACCTAGTGAGCAACGAGGTCTCTTGGATCACTACCTAGTGAGCAAAGAAGTCTCTTGGATCACTACCTAGGGAGCAAATAGGTCTCTTAGATCATTACCAAGTAAATAATGAGGTTTCTTGGATCACTACCTAGTGATCAAAGAAGTCTCTTGGATCACTACCTAGGGAGCAAATAGGTCTCTTAGATCATTACCAAGTAAATAATGAGGTTTCTTGGATCACTACCTAGGGAGCAATGAGGTCTCCCTCCCTGTTTCTCCACCAGGTGCTCCTCTCCCTTCCCCTGGCCCAGGACACAACAGTATAGTCCAGAGCATTACCCGGCTACACCCCAGGACCACCAGATTCATCATAGATTATCCCGGATACAGCCTATTAGATTACACCAGATATACACTAAATGATCCAAGATACATAAAAGGACATCAATGTATACACTGCAAGACACCACTAAATACACTCCAGGATCAAAAACAAACACCAGAGTGCACTGCTATTTCCATAATAAATCCAGTAGAGCCAGAAAATACAACTTAGGACACCTCATACACATTTTGACACAAATATATAAAAAATCATCCCTATAAGCACCACCAGGACACTCCCAGACATCAAAGGACCTTTCCTTCAGTACACCAGAAGATGCATCAGCACATTACTGCTACACACCAGTAAACACCTGGATAAATCCTAGCATAATTTAGATAGGAGTTTGTTATAGTTTTCTATTTTATTTACCTGGTTCATCCCTTCAAAACGCATAAATCTTTTGCCTTTTCCTAAAGATTTTCGTGGAGGAAAACAACTCAATGAGTCTTACATAATGAATACCTCCTGCTGGTTTCCCTGGGAATGTTCTGTCTTTGTCAGCCAATGATTGGTGTGGCGCACCTCATGTCGGCTCCTGTGATTGAAAGGAGCTCACTTCCATATGGGCAGTCGTTGAGAGCGGCCCTGCTCTATGATTACTACCCATTACATTGATTTTATCTGCAGCAGCTGGTACAGAGGCAAGCAGCATATATTATTCGAACACGGAAAAAGCATTGATTGTGTAAGCAGCGATAAAGCCCTCTTAAGTACATAGGAAGCTAGCTTCTAATCACTAATCCCTGCTACCCCACACACTTGGGGTAGACATTAAGCTTGAATGTTATTTCACCAGGTGGCATGACTTGAGTATACGAAGACCCATTGTGAAGGTCTATGTCCCAAAGGACAGTTATGGATATGTATGTGCACCTAGAAAGTCATATCAAGGCGAGGCTGTTGTTGAAAGTAAGAATTGTGTGCGCATCCTTATTTCCCACCGTATTTCCTTATCGATCCACCGTGGTTCTGCATTTCTTTGGTCGTACCATGTTTACAGTTTGGATATTTGAATGACTCTTGCAGTGATTAGAGATGAGATCTTTCCAGTATTGAATTGTTATTATTGTGTGGGATTAGTTTGATCCTGATACTGATCAGCCACGTGAGAGGCTGTGGCACGAGGTACCATAATTGTTGGACACATTTTTATTGACTCTGTGATTGATATTTGCGAGCATGCTGGAGGAGATATCCTTATGGAGATGGGCATTATTAATGTAATTATTTAATTGACGTGTATTTAAGTTTGGATTGTCACAGTGATTTGAAAATTATTCTAATAAAACTGAGCCATATTTTGTTAAAATACTTTGTAAAGAAATCGAGATTAGTGATTATGTAGATATATTAATGTTTATTGCGACACACAGTAACAATGAAGTGTGAAACAATGAATACTCAGACACTTCATATTTTTTATGGAAGATTTTCCACATGAGGTTCAATGAGAATACACAAGTTTACTTTAGGCTCCACCACCAAGCTTTAATTACTATTTATGGTAATTGAAGGTTGTTTTCTTAATAAGTATTTGCTTTCTAACCACTTCGGAACTGGTAGTGGAGAAACAGGTCATATAAGTGCCTTCTACTTACTAGGTATTATAGAACACTTAAGTGTGGAATATGCTGAATGAAGTTCAAAGGAGTTCACCTATGTATACCTACCACCAGAAGAGTTTCCAGTTTACCAGGGATGGGCCTGGCTCAAGGTGACAGGTGTATACTGCTTGGTTTACAACACTCTCAACGTGGGACCTTCTCCAAGTGTGTAAGGTTTAGCCAGGTAACTCTCCAAGTGTGAGGTTAAGCCAGGTAACTCTCCAAGTGTGAGGTTAAGCCAGGTAACTCTCCAAGTGTGAGGTTAAGCCAGGTGACTCTCCAAGTGTGAGGTTTAGCCAGGTAACTCTCCAAGTGTGAGGTTAAGCCAGGTGACTCTCCAAGTGTGAGATTAAGCCAGGTAACTCTCCAAGTGTGAGGTTAAGGCAGGTGACTCTCCAAGTGTGTGAGGCTAAGCCAGGTGACTCTCCAGGTGTGTGATGTTAAGCCAGGCGACTCTCCAGGTGTGTAAGGCTAAGCCAGGTGACTCTCCAGGTGTGTGATGTTAAGCCATTCGATTCTCCAGGTGTGTAAAGCTAAGCCATGTGACTCTCCAGGTGTGTAAGGCTAAGCCAGGTGACTCTCCAAGTGTGTGATGTTAAGCCAGGTGACTCTCCAGGTGTGTGAGGCTAAGCCAGGTGACTCTCCAGGTGACGGCAACGAGTGTCATCACCTGGTCTCTCGTTGTGCTCTGAGTGAGCAGAAATAATAGAGGAAAGTATGTTCCTTTTATTCCACCGCCCGCGAATAACAATACACAAAAGGATATTCCAATATACACCTCAGATCCCTTGGACACAATATCAACAGAAGCACCCCAGGATATACCTCCGGGTATATCCTGGGGAGTTTCATATATATCCTGTATACACCCCATTGCGCCTGTATAAGTAATAAGACAATCCCCTGCCACACTAAGGATTTTCAAATACAGCCAAGACACTCACGGATACTATAGAACCCTGTCCCCCAAACACACTCCGGGACACCCCAAACACACACTCCAGGACACCTGAACACACTCCAGGACACCTGAACACACTCCAGGACACCTGAACACACTTCAGGACACCTGAACACACTCCAGGACACCTGAACACACTTCAGGACACCTGAACACACTCCAGGACACCTGAACACACTCCAGGACACCTGAACACACTCCAGGACACCTGAACACACTCCAGGACACCTGAACACACTCCAGGACACCTGTACACACTCCAGGACACCTGTACACACTTCAGGGCACCTGTACACACTCCTGGACACCTGAGCACACTTAAGGGCACCTGAACACACACTCCAGGGGCACCTGAACACACTCCAGGACATGTGAACACACTTCAGGACACTTGAACACACTCCAGGACACCCGAACACACTCCAGGACACCCGAACGCACTCCAGGACACCTGAGCACACTCTAGGACACCCGAACGCACTCCAGGATACCAGTACACACTCCAGGACACCTGAACGCACTCCAGGATACCAGTACACACTCCAGGACACCCGAACACACTCCAGGACACCCGAACACACTCCACTACACCCAAACACACTCCAGGACACCCGAACACACTCCAGGACACATGAACACACTCCAGGACACCAGTACACACTCCAGGACACCTGAACTCATTCCAGGACTCCAGTACACGCCTCTCTCTCACCCGTCCTCACAGACCTTGACCTCTTCCCCCCACCCGTTGTCACAGAGACCTTGACCTCTCCCACCCATCCGTCCTCACAGACCTTGATCTCTCCCACCCATCCGTCCTCACAGACCTTGACCTCTCCCACTCACCCGTCGTCGCCTCAATGCCATAATCGTGCTTCTATTGCCGTAACTGCTGATTTGGAGACCTAAGATATGTTTTACACTGTCCGGGTCACAGGTGATGAGAGATGAGCCACCACTGGGCTACTGGCTCGCTTCTCGAAGGAAAGTGTCAGAGGTATGTTGCCAATGCAAGACATACTTGCTTGACAGGTTTCACAATATATCATTCAACTGGGAATGAACAAAGCAGGATAAGACGAAGATAGTCAAAAGACAAGCACACTTGTAACTTGAAGCACACCGCCTGCAGGCATACACACAGACATCCAGATAGACGTGCACACAACCTAACAAATGAACACACATACACAGACACAGCCAAACGCCTTGAAACTCAAGACGTTCAAACTCAAGACAAGCTTCAACTCACAGTGTATCTGGTGGTCCTGACCTTGCGGTGTCTGCCTCCCCACTGGTCCTAAAGTCCCAACGTCCCGCCGACGCCAGCAGTTGCCGCTAGTTGCCAGAAACACCTCCTGACGGCGGGATCCAGAATACTTGTTTACCTGCTCGCTCGGCCACTATAATTGGGGGTGAATAACTTTGGATTGACAACCACAACGCCGTACAGGGACATTCAGGTACTTTATCTTGCACGTCTTTAGTATCCGAGACTTGCATATTTGGCTTGTTCCTATGTGGTTAGTTCTGGGAGATAATGGCGCTGGAAACTGAACGTAGACAATTGTTGTGAGAAAATCGTGAGCACCAAGAAGGGATTTACCCAACACCTCGACCCGTGACAGGACACAAGCGGCTCATCAGCCCCACTTCCTCTGCCCCCCCCCCACCCCAACACGAGCGCTCCCCCACAACTCAAAGATACCCTGAGGACACTACGACTCCTCTTCCCCCCCTTAGAATTCTTCCATCCTCCCCCCCCCCCTCCCTACTCTGTCACAAAGGACACTTCCAATATTCTCAACCTCCGGTTCCAGTACAGTTTGTAATGACTGATATTGCTTGTTGATATTGCCTGGTTGATATTGTTTGTTTTGAGTAGTATAGTTGTTATGTCTGGTATTGTTTGTTATGGTTCGTACCGTTCAATGTGAGTGCTCAAGTTTGTTATGATTTGTATAGTTTGTTTTGATCTGTATAGTTTGCTATGAGTTTTGTTGTTAGGAGGAGTGATAATTATTGTTGAAGGAGGAGTGATAATTATTGTTGAAGGAGGAGTGATAATTATTGTTGAAGGAGGAGTGATAATTATTGTTGAAGGAGGAGTGATAATTATTGTTGAAGGAGGAGTGATAATTATTGTTGAAGGAAGAGTGATAATTATTGTTGAAGGAGGAGTGATAATTATTGTTGAAGGAGGAGTGATAATTATTGTTGAAGGAGGAGTGATAATTATTGTTGAAGGAGGAGTGATAATTATTGTTGAAGGAGGAGTGATAATTATTGTTGAAGGAGGAGTGATAATTATTGTTGAAGGAGGAGTGATAATTATTGTTGAAGGAGGAGTGATAATTATTGTTGAAGGAGGAGTGATAATTATTGTTGAAGGAGGAGTGATAATTATTGTTGAAGGAGGAGTGATAATTATTGTTGAAGGAGGAGTGATAATTATTGTTGAAGGAAGAGTGATAATTATTGTTGAAGGAAGAGTGATAATTATTGTTGAAGGAAGAGTGATAATTATTGTTGAAGGAAGAGTGATAATTATTGTTGAAGGAAGAGTGATAATTATTGTTGAAGGAAGAGTGATAATTATTAAATATTTATATTATTATTATAATAATTATTATAATAATAATTGTTGTATTTAATAATTATCACTCTTCCTTCTACTTGGTCTTGAAGGAGGCCGGCCTCGGGTGGGGGGGGGCTGTCACGATCTTTGTCAGGAACCCATAGGTGCGGGACCGGGACGTCCACCTCCCGAGGGTCGTGCGGCCCCCCAGGCTCTGCTTCAGGAGGCTGGGGTCGTTCATACCCTTGATGGGGTGGTTCTTCTCCGGCCCCGACCACGGCGGTCTCCAGGGTTGGAGGTCCTTGTGCCCTTTTTCACCACCTTCGAGGTCAACCCCGGAACTCACAGTTCCTGCGACGGCGCTGGAACCAATCGTATTGGCGTATGCCTTTCCATTGGAGACTTTCAGCGCCGTGGAGAGGGGGACCTGCTGCTTGGGTAACAGCTTCTCCCACGAATCAACCTACCCTGGCTTTGCGCCCTGGTGAGGCCACTAGAGACCAGGCCGACACCACAACGCAACTCCATAGTCTCCTGAGACTGATGGATGCCTGCTACTACTACTATTACTGGCATTGTTTGTAATGGTTGGTTTTGTTTGCAGTGAGTGGTAGAGTTCATTATGACTGATATAATGTGTTATAACTTGTATAGTTTGTAATTATTGGTATAGATTATTATGCCTGGTATTACTTATAGGGACTGGAGTGCGTCTGTTATGACTGGTATTGGTTAATATGAGTGGCATATAGTACAGTCAAATTAGGCTCGAAACAGGCTGAACCAAGACATTCAAAATAACAAAGCGGTGCCAGTGTACAAGTGTTCAGGTGTTCTCCTCAATGCCTCCAAGAATATTCCAAAAACTCACGTTGCGGGTTTTCCGTCATTTTTAAAAATCAGTCGGCCATATTGGATTTTTCCATGGGTTTATGAAAGTACCGACAACGGGCGAACTAATTGTCCTGGAAGGTTGATTCTTTTTTTTAATGGTTTTAAGAGAATGCGCTTTAATATAATATAATATTGTTCAACATTTAATAATTTTCTTGCCCATTTTCATGAGTTGAAAAATATTTTTGCTTCCTTCTTTGTTTAAAACGCTACGTTTTTCTTCAGTAAAATGTAAATGATGAACTGCTTTGAAAAAAAATCGAATAAAAATTGATGAGTGTTCAAAGTACTGCAGATATCATGTATAGTTATCCTTCTATACACTCAATGTGTGGTAGCGGTTGTGCTAAGGCCTGCCACCCCCCCTCCTTCCCCAGCGCCGGAGCCCCGGCCTGGCAGCGGCCCGGCGGCCATCGGGCAACTTCACTAGGGCACCATCATGGATTTTGACACTCTTTCACAGGAACTGTCATTGAGCAAAGTCTGTTAGAGTTTCAGGCTTGATTTTTTTTTTGTAAAATGTTCCTTGTTAAAAGGGGTTTAATATAAATGGAAGAAGTTAAAAGAGTTTGGAGGTCGTGAACACATCGTTGCACAAGTTGTTGTAGGAAAGATTATACAAGGAAAAGAAGCAACTGAAGTCACCGTCTTTATCAGGAAAAGATTCCCAATCAGTTAACTGTAACAAGGTCTATTTTGCGGTCACAGTTGTGCAGACACCACAAAACTTGGCAACCCTGTGAAGGAGGAGCGGAGTGTTAACCTTGCACATTACTGATACAATTCGCCAAGTGGTTGAAAATATGGCAGAGTGTAATAGGGGTGTGGAGGTGTGATAACACTGTCTTGGGTGATGAAGCTAGGCGCTGAGGGACGCTATCACTGGTCCTGCTATCACCGACCATGGGTCCATGGGTCCTGTAAGCCTGCAACACCGGTAAAGAGCGGAAGAAAACAAACAGAAGCAAATTTTAAAGATCTCTGTGAATTTATAGAATCCAACGATGAACGCCAGTTTACAATAGAACTAATTAAAAGTTAATTGGAATACACCCAGCTTCTCAACCTTACAGTGAGATTTAGTTGAAAGGCTTCGTCACTATTGACAGATCGAGCAAATTCTGGACTTGTGTTTGGCCAGATATGACCCTAGAGCAGGTCTAATGCGGTCAATCAAAAGCATAGGTGGACTTACTCAAGGTCGCACTGTGACCGCATCTACACTGGCAAACTGGATGCTTGATATACCATTCACCTCAATAATTGTAGATGCTATTGAAGAATTTGTCCAAGTTGCATCCTCAGAACACCACACAGACCTGAAGTCGTCAAAACCAGATATAAATAGGAGGTGCCTCGTATGGACCAATAGGCCTTCTGCAGTTACCTTCATTCTTATGTTCTAATGTTCTCAAGATTACGACACGGCAGACATCCAAAAGTTTATGAACTGGTTGCATGTCCGCCTTCCTTTGAAAATGCTTTCACCTGATCTGATATCTCTCTCCAGCGGAATTATTGAAGAGAGTTCATTAAACTGTGATCGAATTTAGGAAATCGGGCTTTCATTTCTCAAAAGTACTGTTGGTAAGTTCTTTAGTGATCAAATACCGGCGCTAGGACTAGACAAAGTCCTTGTCTGTTCTGAGAAAGGTTGTAAGGTGAACAGAGAAGACATGGTGATTAACTCAACCAGCTTTTTCACAGAATGCCATACACTGTACCATCACTCTTTGATGATACGTCAGTCTGATTGGGTACGAAATCGTCACTTGTTAATCTTCTGGATAAATTTCCATCTAGTGTATTCTCCGTTTCTCTCAATACAACACACACAATTGATGGTGGACACCTTTTGCACAGTTGTACGGCTACGTCCAGCAGCTTACAGAAAAGTATGCGAGCAATATGTTGCCTACACCTTGCAACACTACGAGGGAAGCCCCGGCACAAAATATGTCAAGCTGCTGGATACCGTGTCTACCAGATAAGCGGCGACCAGACACTCTCCTCCTATCAAAGGCAATCACCCTAACAAGAGAAATGTTGAATAAAAACATTTGTATAATAGACAAAACCCAAGATGTACGAAGATTGCAAATTTTTGAAGCAATCTACATATAAATAGAACAACCCACCATTAATACCCAAATTATGGAACTATTCACTCTACCCACCATGAGAACGGAACGCGAAAATGCCAACATAGAAGACACTGCTCAACATGCTACGCCCAATACACCTGATTAATCTTTGTATGTGGATCGGACATTTATGGACTTTTTCTTTAAAGGCCTTTAAACTTTACGCCTTACTTTTTCCTCCCTTCATGTCTTATTCTTGATCCATTTGCATTGGTCTACTTGTTTTCACCTGACCCCATATTAGTATAAATCCAACATGATTTGTAATTTCCTCAAGCAGAAGCGCCACTATTGCACTACTTACTGGAATGTGAAGCTACTGAAGCCCTGCGCATCAAACTCAACATTAATCTAACGACAGCAGCTGCATTAGATGCACATTCCTCAGCCACTACAATGATTAGAAAAGCCGTTAAAGAATGGAACTCACTAGTGAACATTCTGCACCTACATCCGCCACCAAGATAATGTTAATAAAACACGACTAAAACAGAAGCGAAAAAGAAACAGGGAAAAATGAGGAAACCCCACCTCCATTTAAAACTTTGACCCAAATATCAGATTAACAAGGTTATCGCGAATAACCGAACTCAATTTACGAGCTCACCATAGCCCGTGCTACATGGACATTTCGTTCTGAGTAGCTAAATCTAAAATATCAACAACGTAATTTCCTCACGTCATATCACATTCACTGGTCGCTGGGAGGCACATGCCCTCCGAAACAAGCAGTTTATGTGAGCCGGTTCATAGTTAAAGAAGACCTCAGCGCCATTTGCCCGGCCGATATT